TATATATATATATGTATAGATAAATGTATATACATATATAGATGTATATAGATGTAAAAATAAAATAAATTTTTGTATGGTGAAAAAGAGAGTATTTCACTTCTACCTGTTTTACTTGTGAAACTATTCAAAAAATATTCACTTATGGGATAAATAAAATTAAATTTAAACATCCTACCATTTATACTACGTAAATAGACTATTTGTACACTAAATCTATATGATAAAATTTATTTAAAATTAAACAGACAAAAAATGATTCTTCTCCGTAATTTCATAAATTATAATTTTGTTTCAGTCATATTTCGCTTCTAAAACCATTATACGAAGATGAGCTGGATGCAACGATTGATAATTTTTTCCGCAATCTCTTTCCACTTGCGTATCATCATGCAGTTCATTCTCGTGATGCTGATGATGATGCGATGGCTAGAGATTTTCACATTGACTATAAGAACTGTCTCGAAAAGTCCTATGATGCGCTCCAACCGTTTGGTGAAATTCCTTTCTTCATAAGTCGAATGTTGTTACAAAGCGTAGGCGGAGCTAATGTTTTTCTAAGATCACTTGATCATGGTGCAAGTATTTTGACTGCAACAGAAAACTTACCGTTTAATTCGCCAAACAGAAATTGTCAGCAGGCACTTCTCAAAATGAATTATTGTGCTTCTTGCAATGGGCATAATTATCATCATATTAAACCATGTTATGGTTTGTGTTCGAACGTCATAAGGTTAGTTTTATATTAAGCAATATTATCTTAGATTTTATTTTCTCTTAGAAATCAAAATAAATCGTTTGCTCATGTTACTTCTGATATATTCCACAGAGGCTGCGTAACTCAATTTTTGGGCGATTTGGATACCGATTGGAATTCATTTTCGGAAGACCTCGAACGATTAATGACGTTGATACGTAACAAGGACGGTATCGAATCTGTCATTAAAAATTTGGATGGAAAATTGTCTGAAGCGATTATGCATGCAATGACGAACGGACCGGAATTGGAGAAAAAGGTGAGTCATTTTTAGATATTTTATTATATGAAATATTTCTTCATCCAAGGCTTGTTCTTATTCTTTATTTTCTACATCTTATTTTTTTCATCTTTGTATTTTTGAGATGTTGCTAGTTTTCTTCGTTCTTCTCTCAATTATTGAATATTTTGATCGAATTCTCGAATGTTTGACAAAGAAATGAACGAAAAAAAATTGAAGTATGTGAGAGAGAAAACACGTATGTGCATGTGCATATTATATTGCAAAATAAAAATCTTCACACACATCTGCATGAATATTAATCCGTTTGACACTGTAATTAACTCAATGAATAAAATTTTTATTTCAAACCATAAATCGTTTCTAAATTTGCCGAGACGAAAAGATTTTTCGTTTTTAGTTTTAAAATTTCATGAGCGTCTAGATGTCTTGACTTAACATAAATGATTATTCTTTTCTTTTGTTCTCTTTTCTTCTGTCCTAATCTTTCACTCGTTTTAAACTAAAGCCTAGACTAATGCAAATTTTTAACAATTCAACACGAAAATGAAACATCTATTAGGTTTTTATAAATCAATTAGATAAGTGTTAGTGAATAAAAAGAAATTAATAATAAAAGGTGATAATTATTCATTTTCATCTGCTTGTACGCATAAGGATCAAAGATATCAGCGAATTTATGGAACAATTGATAAATCCTTTAAAATAGTATTCAAGCAAGATTGGAATGAATTTCAAATAATAGAAGAAAAATACGTGAAAGAAGACGGAAAAAGGGATTAAAATCTAGAATTGTTTTTGTTTTCTAAACGAAATTCTTGTTTCAATAAAACATTGACAATAAATAAAGAAAAAGACTTTTCTACATGTTTTATTTAAATACTTCAATTTATTCTTATTTTATGAAAGAATGCATTCATTTTTGCTTTTCATTTTTATGTTTTGTTACTTTTGATGATACTTTGGATGGAGAACAGAGAATTTTGACTAAATGTATATAGGGAGATTTCAGAGCTCACTTTAGACTTTTGCAAAAATTCCGTAGTCTATACCTTGCGTTAAATAACAAATACAAATTCATGTATTTTTCCCACCTTAAAAAAGAAGAAGCCGGCATTTTTTGTATTGGATTTCGACTGGATTTAATAATTTTAATGTGAAAAACGGCTATCAGTCTTGTAGCGTAAACTTCAACTTCTCTTTTCGTTTAATGCAACATGTTTCGATATTTTATTTGAATCCTTTTCAAGCAATAATTTTGCTAGAAATTTCGTTAGACTGATAGCCGTTTTCCGGCATTTTTTGTTTACTTTTTTATTTTCACCGTCATCAAATTGAAAACAAAAATGTGTAGATATGTTTTTTACTTGTGTATGAATGAGAGAGAACTATTATTAAGTTTATTTGAATCAGCATCTATGCAATATATATTTAGCGAGCAGCAAAAAGCAATACATATAAAAGTATAAATTAATAAATGAATAAGAAAAGTGCAAGCAATAAGGTTAAGGCAAGTAGAAATGTAAAATAAAGAGAACAGATAAAAACAGGTTTAGCTAAAAACTCAACTTCTGCACTGACCTGGTGAATTCCTTTATCATTTCTTATTCCCGAATTAATAAATGTGAATGTTCTTTTGAATTCTTTTATTATTATTTCCTTCCATTTACCGATTTTTTATTAAAAGAAATAAAATTTGGTAAAGCTAAGAGTTTAGTTAAGAACATTTTTGGATTAGGTATATAAAGAAATGTTAAAAAGATAAATAATTCTTGCTATTCAAAAAAGAAAAATTAAAAAAATGCAACATTCACTTCATAGTAACAAATAAATTTTATTTCTGTTAATTATTTCTTAGCACGAACACAGAATAATCTAGATAATAATAATCCATTTCGGTTTCAATGATATCGTCATTAGAAGAATCTGACTCGTGAAATAATCATTTAGCGAACTTTCTTACGTTTCTTTATTTTACAAATTCTTTTACTTGTTTATAATTTCTCCTGTCATAAAGAGGTTTAATGAAAAATTTTTTGTTTTATCCTTCTTTGGAAATAAAATCATTCGAATAAAATTTACTGAATAAAATATGTGGTGCCTTAAACAGTTTATTTCTTTTTATGGAAATCGCATTCGATTTGCAATAAAATATGTTCATTCTTTGTTTGAGAATGTAATGTAGACTGACTTTGAAGTAAAACATCAAATGAAGTGTCATGATAGATATGATGCACATTTTAAATATAATCCTTTTATGTATGTGATTTGATGGAATATCAATTGTATCGTCAGTGAGTAGTATGTTACCTTCTTTTAGCTTTAATAGTATTATATTGTGAAAAAAGGGAGGAATGGCGCTTTTGCATAAACCCTCACTTAATCAGTAATACGATAAAGTTTGCAAACATAAAATATTTAAGTCGGTTTCAAAAGTCTAGAGTTCTAAAATGTGTATATTTAACAACATTTACAAAAATCGGATATTGTAGTTGTTACTTTTTATATTCTTTAACTTGATAAATGAAAAAGATTTCTTTTCATTTGCCGCCTAAATGATATCCACTACGCCACACGGTATAAAACGCTTTTATTTCTGAATAAAAAAAATAGTTTTAGTCATCCACAAAATACTTAGAAGAATAACATTGAATTCCAAATAAAATATTTCTTTGTTTGTTTTCGCTTAACGTTCGTTTCATCTCATCAATTTAATTAATTCATCAAGAAGAGTTTCAGAATTATCTACATTTTATTTCGTGTGTGAATGCGAATTTTTAAACGAACGCAAGTGTCATACATAAGAAAGAGTATACAAAGCAATTGCGTTTTAATATTTTCTGCGGCTGTATTGTGGTTGTCGATTAATTGGATGTTTTGGCGAATCGAAAAATTGCCAATTAATTGTATTTTTAATTACAGCAAATATATAAGAAAGGATGATTTTTTATAAAAACAGTTCTTAAGCTAGAGAAGAATAGTAAGTTTGCAAGTTGGTTCCTCAGCCTACTCTTTCAAATCCTGACTTTCATTTATCCATATCAAAAAATGAAAACTAGACGTGAAGGTATTTTCTTTTTGAATGAGTTGGTTTAAATGAGCTGATAAACATACATGTTAAATATATACCAAATTATCTAAATGAAAAAGCGATAGAAAGAAGAAATTTCTATTATTGAGTATGATCATTATTAAATGATTCCTTCACTCTTATTTTATTCCAATATATTAATGAATTACATAAATTTTTTAATTCAATAAAATTTATAGTTTGAAAACACCAAATTGTTGATTTATTTTGAAAAGTTGAAAATCGAAAAATCGATAATGATTAAATCAAAATTATCTTAAAGCTTTTGCGAAAAATCATAAACAATAAGTCTAAAATTGCATTAGAGAAGATGATTTTTATATGTAAATGAATATTACATGAGAATGCTCTATGAAAACTGTTCGAGATTATCATTGTTTGCAAAAAAAAACTTGCATACCAATTTCTTCCTTATGATAGTAAAAAAATGAGAATTTTTTTATGAAACTTTAAGAAAGTGTTGTTAAATGAATGAAATGAAAAATGACTAAAGAAACGAATGTTTAGTTAAAGTTTATCTATTAAACTAATCAATAAATCTGCATTCCTGCCTGACCCTTAAAATATGCATGAATGTATGTATGATGTATGTATGTTTGTGTGTGTGTATGTCAGTTTTCAGTTCCGAACAAATGTCGGTTTTTTGATATCAATCAATGAATGTTTGATACGATAATTAATTTTAGCTTTTACCAACCGAGTTTTCCTGTATTTTTTCATTTGTAAGCAATAGAAATCAATGTTAGTTTTTTATAAATTTGATTCGATTAATCTTTCCCCAAATCTTTGAATTTAAATAGATTGTTCTTGAGAACTTTTGCGATTATTTTTTTAAGATTATTCTATCTTTGTTAGGTCCTGAAATCTTGTGGGATACCATCAATTCGCCGCAATGACAAGATCCCATCATACGACAGTTCGAAAGAATCAAACGAAAAAAATATAAATGACGGGCCATCACTGGAGAAGAAACAAGTTCCACCAGTTCATAATGGAAATAAGTGGGCACCACCTCCCGATACCGAAATGTTATTGTTTCTTACACATCTCGACCAATCGAAATCACTGACATTGCGACTTGCAAATAGGTAAATAAATGCATTAAAAATTAAAAAGTAGACTACTAAACTTAACATAAGTAGGTACATATATAAATACACTTTATTTTTAATAACTGAATCAAAATACATATTTTTATTTATTTAGCTATTGCGATGATGATCGCTATCAAATGCAAGATAGAGATTGTTGGACTGGCTCTAATCTTGGTGATTACACTCATAAAGTTATGGACATTCATTCACAAAAATACAATCCCGAAGTGCCAACGTTGCAAAGTATCAACAACGATCAACTTCATCAACTTAATGATCAATTAATTACAATGAAAAACATGGTGAATAAACAGGTAAACAAATAAAGAAGATGAAGCTTACCTTCTTAATGTTTTGAGAAAATCGATGTCCGTGTACATGCTCCTGCTTACATACATTTATTTAGGAAAAAACTCAAATAAATTTCAACTTCTAATGGTTAAAAAATATCATATAAATTAATTCAATTTTCTATTTCTGACGATTAGATGACTCATTTGCTAAGATCGGATAGTGATAAAATGTTTGCGGATATGGCCGAGGGGTCGACAAATTATCATGACTTAGATCATGATTATGATGATGAAAGATATGAGGATGAAGAAATGTCAGGATCTGGTGAATCAAATTGTAAGTTCATATCTATATCATGCCAAATAGATGTATTTGTTACGAAATGATGTTAACTTAATTCCATTTGCATATTTAGATGATCCACTTCCACCAAATTTTCAGCCAGGTGTTCTTGACGACAATAATCATAACAGGATGAGTCCTGGTAGTCCAGCAAGTTCAGGAAGCTCAAACAAAGTCTCTTTAGTGACAGTGGCTCTAGTTTTATTCTCAATAATTGTGATTAATTTAAATAGGTATAAAAGAAGAAATGGATAATAATTTCTCCAAAAAACTTATAAAAATCTGTAAAAATATTATGGATCTAAAATTTCATTTAAAAAAAGAAGGAAGAAAAGAAAAGAAAAGAGAAATCTACCAATTGAAGTATGTATACTACTTACAATGAAAAATGAAAGAAAAAACGAGGAAGAACTGTAAACTTTATTACAACTCATATCATGTTTACAAATGTTCAGAAGGAACCACTTACTTTTACTTCTTGAAAAATATTTTAATTGCAATCGTATCTTAATGCTACTTAATTCTATCATTCATTAGAATATTCAAAATACAAAAAAATAGTTATACTTTTTTTTCATTTAGTCCTTGATTTTTTCTTAAAGATAATGTAAATAACTCTTTCAATATTTACATATTATATTATATATGATGTGAAAAAGTAGATTGACATTTCAATGAATAGATGGATCAGAAAAGAAGCAAAGCATTGATGAATTAGAAAATATTAAGTTCAATCATTTGTGTTTTCTTAAATTTAGTGTTTCTTAGAAACATAAATTTTATAAATTAACATTTTAATTATTTACTGCTTCTGACATGAAATATAAGTTAAAATGTGATAAATTTAACTACTTTCTCAAGTTAACTCTCACAGTTTTAATAAATCACATGATGATTCTTATATCATTTTTGAAGCAACTTCATAGCAAAGGACATTCAATGCTCTAATTTAAAATATAAAAGATTTTGCCTTATGATATAATCATTGCTGTTGAATTTAAGTTGACGGAGTTTAGAATGAAATTGAATTTGTTGTCAATTATAGAGGATTTAAAAAAGAATTGAAATGCATAAATTTTATAAAAATAATAGACTTCTCCAGAAATAATAATAAGTTCTTTATTTCTAAAAGCAATTTTGAGTTTGATATAATTAAAATGATGTCCGGAATCAAAGAACATGCTGGCATGAGAAGAAATATAATTATTGCTTGAAACTAGCACATTTTTTAAAAATTTTGGCAAGCATAATATTAAAAAATAAATACTAAATGAAATGATTATGAAATCGATAAGTTTAAAGAGTAAAATAAACTTTTTCCAAAGTGTTTAAAAATTCTGTAGTATTCAGCATTTAGAACTGTTTTGGGATTTTTTATGAGAATATAAGAAAATGTTCTCTACTTTTGGATTAAGACGAACTTTTCAAATTAAATTTAAAATCTTGATATTAAGCTAAAAGCAGAAAATATTTTCTTATTTTCACACGAAAACATCCAAAACAGTTTTAATTACTGAATACTACGGTATCAAAACACTTCGGAAATAGGTTTCAATATTGAATGAACGAATCTAAACAAACGGATTAAACCCCTACGTTTCAACACCAAAATGAAGAAAATTAAGAAGCTGTAATAATAATCGGAAAAGTAAAAAAGCTTTAGACGTGACAATCCGCGAAGCTAAAAGTTATTACCATCGACAAAAATTTTGAAATATTGTAAATACTTTTTATTCGATTACAATACAAATAGAGCCTCTGAAAAATACATTCTTAATGTTCATATAAACAAAACCAAGAACGTGATGCATTTCACAGTTGAAATCACAGATGGGTAGATCCTTTAAACTTGTTTAACGAAGGACCTGCGCTATTTTTAAAGTAAATATTGTTATTGGTTGGAATTAGCATAAAAGAAATTATTGAAAATGCTCAAATAACCAAGAATAAGCTGTTACTTTAAATCATCATCATGATCCGCGTCGTGAAAGTTTTCGTATGTGAAGAAGTTTTTTATTTTCAATCACTTTTGCATAGTAAGATTACGTGAAAGATTGAGAGAGTCCGTTTTTTGATCGTTTGAGTTCTATTTTCTGGGGTTAGTTGAAAACAAAAAGATGTACATAAACAAGTATAATAACGTTGTAAACAATTATAAATAGGCAACTATCATGTCAATGCCCTTTGAGAAACTCATTTATGCAACAGATAATTAAAAAACTAAAATTCACTCATAATATCATTAGGTTTTCGAAAAGTTATGAAAATTGATAGATGCAAAAGTTGTTTCGTTCATTTTTATCATGTTTATTTGTCAACTTCAAATGCTGTGCTTTTCTTTCGTTCCGCAATAGATATCAAACATTAATTGATCACCAGATAACATTGCTACTATTTTGTGTTTATTTTTGTCTAAAAAAATCAAGTCAATAAAATTACATTTTAATTTGATAGTATTGCAAACAAACTTTAGTCAAAAACTGTATTTCTTTTTTTATAATATTATTTGTTTTTGATAGATTATTAAGAAAGAACAAATGTTTGTTATTTGAATTTTCAAAAGGAAACAGGAAACTTCAGTTTAGATAATTTTCTTAACTTTCTACTCGGTCTTTAAAACTTCAGCTCATATTTTATATTTCTGCAGTGATAATCCGGGTATATGTAATATTTATCGAGTTTCTTTGGTTAAACCAGTCAATATATGTAAAGTTCATAAGCAAATAATTCAATTAATTTGGTCGTCGGTTTTTCGTTTTCTTTTGGAAAGGATTCAAAAATATTTGTGAATTATCTGTGATTGTAATTTTCTTTAATAGTTATTGCACCATGAAAAATTGAATGTGTTTAATTGATATCACTAAAAAATGTAGAACTTGCGTTAATAAAAATATAAAAAAATTATTACACATATTATGAAACATAAAATAAAATGTCAAAATTTACTTTTTTTAACTGAGGAAAGTTTTAAATTTTCTTTTATTCGTAGGTGTGATTTTAATTTGACAAATTTTTCGAGGTATTATGGTTTATAGATTTGTTCATTTATACAATGCATAAAATATGGTTTGGTAGAATTAACGTAAAACAAGAAATAAAATTTGAACAACAAGTCTGACACAGTTCTTTTGAGAGAAAGCGTAGAGTGTTGACACAACGAGAAGAATTTTTGAAGTAGGTACTTGATAAATAGAATAAGTTACAGCAAACCTCAATCTGAAAAAAATCTATACGCAAATAAAAATAAAAGAATTCAAATTCACGAAGGTAGATTAATGATAATTGTGAATAAAGGATAATAACAATTATTAAAATATATTAAATTTTATTAGATTTTTGTTGTTTTCAGATGAATAATTTTTAATTTATGTTGAATAATATCTACATTAAGATATTATTTCTTCAATCATCGCGTCGGAATAAGGAAAAGAAAAGTTTATTCTTTATCGTGCTATTTATTTGAAATTTTTTTTAATACATTATGATAGTTAGATAGATGTATTCATTATTTTATTGCCAGTATTGATACTTTTCTATTCATTGATTTTACAATATGATATTTAATTTCATTTCTTAATAATATATTTTTTCAATTTCATTTTATAGACTTCGCAGTCTTCATCCCAAACAGCATGATTTACGTTGAAATTTAGTTTTAATTTCTCATTGGCATCTATAAGCAATTAATACCTTTTGATTCCTTTCCGTGTATTTTATCATCATGTTTTTTTAGTGAGTGAGGTTTGGAACATTTGGGGCAACATTCTTCAGCTTCTTTGCAAACAGAACCTCTATGAGCATATCGACTACATACAGAACTTGATTTTTCTTGATTTCTCCACTTTGACAAGGTCAATTCTCTGTTTTCGTCTATAGAAAAACAAGAAATTTCTTGTTCACGATTTAGCTTCCGAATTTTTAATTTTTTCAGAGTGGATACACATTTGAGCTATTTTTTAATAACAAAACAACATAAACATTCTAAACAGCTAGGTAATAAATTTTCCACCGGAGAAGTTTAAAAATGCTAACTAGCTTAGTAGTTAGGTCGATTTACATTGAATAATGTTTATAGTACTCATCAATAGAAACTGTTTTCATTTTTTATCCACATGCATTCCACTTGTTGTAAACAACACCTGAGAAAAATTGCTATTTCTGTTTAAAGTTTTATTTTACTATTTAAATAAGTACATTTAGTGTTTCAACTGAGTATTATTTATAGAAATTAGATGAACATTGTGAGTTTTTTCAAATTGAAAGTGAAATAGAATTCGAGATCAAAAATATTATAATTTATAAACACAGATTTCAAACTATAAAATTGACTATCTTGAAATATTTGGATGTTTATTGTCCTCATTTAATTCGAAATATTTTATTTGAAACAATGCAATTTGTATCTACAGGAGTTTTTTTTATAATTTTTTTGAAATTTCTCATGATTATTAATTGTCATTTAGATAAATTCTAACTGCGTAACAATAGAGAAGCTGTGATCTTCCATTATGTATGTAGGTAGTTGATACAAAATTAAAATGAAATGACGAAAGAAGTAAACATACCTATTTCATAACTTTTCATTGAGTTTCCAGTTCCTTCAGGCAAGTTAATCGAAAAAAAAAACTTTAAAAATAGCTTTTTAATTTTATTACCACTTGTGATTTTCGAGCCCATCACTCAATTAATTTTTTGTTTGATAACATAAAGAAAAGTTGAAAATTGAAAATCAATTTTCTCAACGGCTGGAATCAAACCAATTATCTTCAATTATCTAGACCAAAAAAAGTATTCTAAAAAGTTTCCGTAAAGGAAAAAGGCTCTATAAGTTGTCCCCCCTTAAGATTGCTTACAAATGCACTGTATGCAATTTTTTCTCTATAAAAAAATATTAATTTGCAGCTTTCTCAGTTCGTAAAACCCACTTTTCATAAATTGAATATTTTCAACCAATTTCATTTATTTATGTGTATCCATTTTTCTTTAATACAATTTTGCGGGAAATGAATTAAAGCTAAGCTTCAAAATTAAATCTGATTACATATAAATTGTTAAGCTAGTGCCATCTTCACAAAAAGTTTTCAAATATTCCCATGTTTCATTTTCTGTTTCACCTGCATTCAAGAATATTTACTACAATTTTAGTGTTACAAAGTTAATGTAAATGTCATTAAAAAAAGTTAATGTTAAATTGCTTATGGCTCTCGTGCAGGTTTTTAAAGCACATTCATGTACTTACATAGTACCTTAATCACTGATCCATTGAAAATATATTAAAATATCTTTGAAAGAAATATTTAAAAATAATCCTTCATCATCATTTTTCAATATCGTAATATCAAGAGTGGCTTGCATATTATATACACAATATGTCATGTTATGTTAAAATTTATTTATTTTTATCTTGCAATTAATCTACATACATTAAAGCTTTCATTAATATCTTAAAAGCTTTTATTAATATGTTATCTTAAATATCTTCATATGGATTGCCTCCTTTAATAAGAAAAAAAATTTAAGGATTTATGCATTTCATTCAATTTTCAACTTTGCTAATTTTATATATTTTAAAACAAGGTATTTAATTTAATGGACAATGTTTATGAGTTTACTTAAAATTCAACAGAATGCTTTTGACAACAATTATTAAGGATAGACAGGAATTTGATAGTCATACCATTTAGCTGTTTCTATTTTCAATGTTACTCAGCAGGAAGCATTTATTGAATGAATTGAAATTCTACTGCACTTTTTAATTTTTTTAAAAAGTTCATTTATATAGTAAAATATCTTTGGTATTTGTTCTTAATATTTTCGAAGGAATCACATTTCATAACATCTCAAAAGTTAACTTCTTCTTATGGCTACTCTTCATAATCTGTTAAAGGTGCAACAGGTGAATTTAGCACAAATGGATCAGCTAATTCAGAATCTGAAATACATTTTAAAATTATTATTCTTAAAATCAATAAAATTTGAAAAATGTTATTTTCTCAAAAGAAAAAGTTACCAAAATATGTTTGAACAATATTTGTAAATAAATATTTAATTAAACTATTATGAAACCAAGAAAATAGGGAAACCTGATTCGAAAGCAAGCAAATTTTTATCCAGTAAAGTAGAACAAATAAATAAGAAGCAAAATTAAAATTAGAAAAAGAAGCTTCATTGGATAGGATTTCAATTGTTAGTATCTTTTATTTGCAAATGCAAAAATTCACACGCTTCATTTACGAGCATTAATATTTTTCTAAATGATTTTCATGTGGTTTTGGGTTAAATGAAACTTTTTGTTTAATGTATCTTGTCACATTGCCTGAATTTCTTTAACTTTCAAGCTTATTTTGTTCAAAATTTATTCAGACTCTCAAATACAGTTGCAAAATTTCAAACATTATATCTACCATATTTCAGGTACTTGAAATTGTAAACGAAATATGATATAGTAATTACCTTTATATTTCAATTTTCAAGTGTATATGTACGTATGAACATATTCTTTTTGTAATAAATTGTATAAGCCAAATCTTACCTTAACTCAAAAGAAATAAGAGAATTTTATATGATATAAAATAACATCAACTCCTTAAATATTTCAATTAATTTTTTAAAGAATTGTAAAAGCTAACTTTAGAAAATTTATATTCAATAATTTGAATGCATTGTTGAAAATTTTGCACATTTAATAATCATGGAATTATTTTTGTCATATAAACAGATATATGAAATTCATCTAACTACAAGAAAATGTCTAAATATTGATTTTGATTTATGTTTTATTCTTTTAGAAAAAAAATTAGAGTTCTTGGTACATGATTAAGTTCATTTTTAAAAATAAAGAGCTGATAAAAGTTTCTATGAATTCCATTGCTAACAATTTTCATAACAAATTCCAACACTTCTTTTTTTCAGGTTCTAAATATAAAAAACATCTATTCCAATTTAATGAAATTACAACCATACAAATCCTGATGCTACAAAATAAGCTTCATGTTAGTTGGAAGCTAACATCTTAGATGCATCTTTTTCATAGATCGTATATTTTTATAAAACGTTATGAATGATAACTTGAACCTCTACATTATCTTTATATTCCTTGGATTATTCGCCAGAATATATTTAATGGATTTAAAATCATTTTCAATGTTGTTATATTTTATCTATCTTACACCAAAACAAATGAATTTTAAGAATTTTTAAAAGAGAGCTTTCAATGCACATTTTGCAATTATAGAAAGTTTGCTATAAAGATGAGATAAAGCTTTCAGGAACTTAAAAGCTACCAAATTTAATTTTCTTTACAATATATAATAAACTAAAATTAATGATTTGGCAAAATATTTACAACTTAGCTTTTTAACATTTCATCAGTATTCATTACTTCAATTATTATTTGGTTATTGCATCTTTATCTATTATGTTTCTGTTGGTATTATGAATGATTTTTCAACTGTAATCTTTGTACCAATTTTATGTGTAATCATTTTATGTGTCAATGGATGTTTTTGGATATAAACTATAATGAATAAAAAAAGAGAATGAAACCTTATACCAAAAGTAGTAATAAAATAGGTTTAGGATTATAAATATATATAATTTATCTAACAAAAGATTACATATATTTGTAAATATGCGAAACGATAATGAAAATTGTGAAAATCAAAATAATCAGACATTTTCATAGAAAAGATTCGATTATTATCTATGAAAAACTGGTTTTGAAGTTGAGCATATGGTTATGGTGACAGAATGAAAGTTTTGAATAAACTAATTTAGAATGAACTAAATTTATGGTTCTTAATGATTAAGAAATTTAGGCTCTTTTTGTAACTTATTTGTTTCGAACAATATAAAATAAAAAGACTTCAATTTTAACTTCCTTGAAATGAGATTTCATTATTTATAACACGGAGAATGAGTCGAAATGAAATTTGGAATGTAAACTTCTTCTTTTAATTAAAACTTTGTATCAATCTATAGTTTTAAGGCTCAATAATCCTTTTAAATTCATTTGCTTAGATTTGAAGTTGTAAAAATTTCATTTCCTAAAAAAGTCTTGAAAATAGTGAAAAAAATGATTTATTGTCTGATTTGTTGTTCTTCTTATTTTGTTTTAAATTCATAGTCAACAAAAATTTGTACTGTAAATTTATGAACATTTTTTTTCATATTGCATACAAATAGACAAATTATTTAGTTGAAAAACACGAAATAAATAGTTCAACTTATGATTTCGAAAGCCTCCAAATCATACAATACGGTGCATTAATTTCTGAAGGTTTCATCCATAGTCAATTTAAAAATGAAAAGTTTTTAATTTCCTTTCACCTAACATCGATGTGATCCATTTTTTTATTTGAGTTTAATACATGTAACGGAATAAAGTACTTAGAACTTTGTAAGGCTATAAACTGAAATATGTTACATATTTGTTAATAGCTTTTACCCACGAAAACGGGAGAGCCTAAATTTCTTCAACAATAAAAACTTCCTAAATATTGTGGACATTCTTGTTGTTTATTGTACGTACTCGCTGTTATATTTGGTGTTTTATCCTCACATCGTTTACCACTGAAACCATCGGGACAACTGAAAGTAAAATTTGGTTGACTGTTATTCAATATATTGAAGAAGTTATAACATTTCTTAACTAGAGGTAATAGAAATATGAAATAGCCAATTATTTTTCCGATGACATTTCAACTTAATAAATAATTCAAAGATCTTTTTACGTCTGTCAATGCTGATTTGTGAGATTAAGTTCGAACACATACTTTGCAACAGTCACACATTCTTTTTTTCCTACTTATAGTTGTTGTAAGTTCTTCATTAATTATATTAATATAAAAAAATCCACCTGAAATAGCACCGACGGTCCATGTGAACGATTTAAGTTTGCTTTGCGATTATTTTTCGTGGCTAATTCCAAAGACATTTCCATAAGAAATCAGCGAAATTCAACAAAGCGTCTTTTAAAGATAGACAATAGATAGCAGCAAAATCTTACACAAGTTAATGCAGGGTTAATTTTTTTTTGCAAAAACTCATTCATTGAGTATAAAAGATTGTCCTTCTAAATAGATGGAAGTGACAATCCTGATTTGAATGCGCCATCGTCTTACAGTGCTACTCGGGCACATAGTGTAAGATGTATCATCAATTTGTATTGAAGAAGAATTTAAATTCTATTTTTCTTTCTTCTCAGGGAAACTCCCAAAAAATATATAAATTATAATATAAAATCGTTGACGATTTTTCTATCCTAAGCAAAATATTAATATTAATAACACAGCTTAATATGAATTTCAAAAATGAAAATTTTTACAAAGTAAAGCTTTCACTAATGGAAGCACAGCTGGTAACATCTCTCTAGTTTGAATTTTGATTCTAATTAAAGAACTTGCGGTGTTTACGTAAAAAGCAAAAAGTTAAGAAAAAAAATCCATTTTTTCTTTCTTTTTAGCTAATAGTAGAAAGAAGACTATGGTGGCGTACGAAAATCGTACGTATGTATAATGTATATATATATAAACATAAAATACATATACATAAACATTATATATATATATATATATATTAAATATATANGACTATTAACAGCACTTTTTTTTAATTTTTTAATAAGAAACTTTATTTTTTCGAAGTCATATGGAATGTTGTATTGAATAGAAAATCAATCTTCAGGAGAAAAAATGTCAACTCGAAAATTATTTTGACGGAGTGATCCAGTGATCATTGTATCATTACTTGTGTGATGTCTCTCGTAAGTTTTATTTTATGTTTTTTTTCTTTGCGTATATTTTTTCCTTCATCATCTCGTCGTTTTTCTCTTCTCCCGTAAAATGTTTAAAAATAAATGAAACCGCCAGACTAAACAAAAAAAAAAGAACGAGAAAATTATTTTCATGGAGCGTTCATCATTAACTCATCTGTCGGGTGTCGAGCGAATCTTCGTATTTAAAAAAAACATAATGTTTGTATGTACAAGAAATGAAAACGAAAAGTTTCAAATTAATTCTAAGTTTTACTTTTTTTATAGGAGAGGTACATACATACAAGTCAGGATAAGCTTTTTTCAAGATTAGGGATATAATCTACATAAGAAATTTTTTTTTAAAAGAAAAACTTATCCCTGATTTGTATGTATTTAGGTCTCCTATAGAAAAAGCAAAACTAAAATGCACATTAATATGATCAAAATTACGCCAACACAGCCAATTGCTCTTAATGTGTGTTTCGAAATGAGTCAGATTTGATTTTCGTAATTCTTTTTGGTGGTTGAACTTAGTGAGTGTCATCATATAAATACCATTTGGTCGTCTCACATATGTTGCGTTTTCAAAAAATTATTTTCGTCACGCGTGAGTTTCATTTTCATTTTCACTACCGATTTAGTAACATTCAGCCATGTATAAACACTTATTATCAATGGACACATTTGTATTTCAGAAAAATCTAGTTCCTTCTTCAAAGCCAAAAAAACGTTTGAATTTTAGATCGACCTACTTTAAACACATTGTAAGGCTCGAGAGTGATGTTAACTGACTCAACATTTTATAATTTCAAAATTAATTTTTTTCCTTTGGTGCCCATTCTACTCATCGCTAAATAGCACAAGCGGCGACGGCTCTGTTAAATCAGCCATTTGACTTTCACGCCATCAAATTGGAAGGAATTCCTTCACACTAAGGAACTCAGCCTTATGGAACAAAGAAAGTAGCTGAAAATGTATGCCTCCTTTTGCTGACTTCCCTTGGCACTGGCATATGGAATATGGCTTCAAAACTTGCCAAAAGGAGCATTTAAATTGTCCACATGGACCGTCAGTGTTATTAAGCTGGCGTAATTAAGAGACAAAACAGAATCGTACCAAGGATTACCCATTGGTTAATGAAAATTGACAAAAATTGAGATGTATGATCTTCATTCTAACAAAATATGTCTATAAAATTTATATTAAGCTTATGCCATTTCTATTATACATAAGTCATATTTTCCATTAACATCATTAATAATAAGTATTATGATTGAATAGTATATTTTACTTTAACTATGCATTCACCCGCAGCTACTATTTGGGCAATGGTAAATCTCGAACCTAAAAATATCACATTCTCCTACAAATAAGAAGCGCATGAATTACCGTCATAAGCAATGTATGTGTATGTGTTCGAATGCTTTTATGATAAATTATTCTACATTTCAAAATTCACATTATTCATCGATTAGTTTCAGTTTTCACCTTAACGAGGTGATAGAAAATACATGGCCGTTACAAGGAGTGCAATACTTTTAAGCAAAATATTTAATAAACAATACTTACTCGCATGAAGCTTCCTGAATTGATTCAATAAAACGGCATCTACCACCATTCAGACAAAATGCCTCGCTTGCTAGACCTGCAGGACATTCTTTCATTCCCTCGCTATATGGTTTATCTGGAATTATTTAAAAATTTAGAAAATATTGATTTTATTAGTTAGCAATTTAATTTTTTTTTATTTTACTCGTCCGTTCTGTGATTGGGTTGTGTTTCGATAACACATCGAGCCATGTAAAACTGAACACCGGCCGCTTATATGTCAACTTGTTTTTGGCTCTACATTCATATTTTCCACTATCACTCCAAACAGTAGATTTAATTATGAGATCAGCTCTTTTCCTATAAAATATTTAAGATCATAATAAGTTAGGTAAGTTTTTATAAACTCGATTTTCCTTCTAAAATGCCATTTTTACCGTGTCCATTGGACGAAATGATATTTTGTTTTATTTCTATTAATGGATCGGCCATTTTTAAACCAAGTAACTTTCGGTGCCGGCTCTCCATTTACTTTACACACGATACGCACGCTTTTTCCCTCTTTAACTTTTAAGTTGGGTGATATTGATTCTATCGACGCACGTTTCCCTGAAATAATAGAAAATAAAAATGCGTAAAAGATTAGTCAACTATAAATGATATCAGTTTGCGATTGGATGCCATCAACGAGGTGAATGGAATTGAAAAATAAACATCGCACGACGAGAGAGTGAGAAAAATTCAATTTTTCATCACATCCCGCACAAACTTCACACAGAAGAAAAGAAACCACAAAAGTAAAAAACAGCGGCTGTTTATAAAGTAAAATAATAAAAAATGGCCACAAGTCTATAAACTGTCAGTTGACAAAACGAAAAAAAAAAATGTAGATAGTTTTCATGACGCCCGCAAACAAATAAGCACTCAAGATCATTTGTTTGTAAATGAGATTATCTATTTGATTCCCTGTTGTCAATTGAAAAGTTGAACGCTCTTAATGTCCTTGGAAGACGCTATGATCGTAAATTATTTGGACTAGCAAAATATATTATTTATCTTGAAGATTTTTACTTATATATCGAGTTACAATTAGAAATCAAAATAGAAAAAAAATTGTTGCTAATCAGGATCTTTCAGACTATATCATAAATTGAACTAAATAATTTCTTTCTTTTGTTTCTAACCATTATCAAAAAGAATGCAAAGAAATCTTTACATTTTGTGTGGCATTTTTATTTTAGGTACGGTGAAAAAATGAAGAATCTTGGGGAAGTCTCTTCGCTTGTGTATGATGAATGAGAAATGAAAAGTCTTTTTTTGCGTATAATGTTAAGAACGCACACGACTTTGAATGAAAATAAAATAGAGTCGTCGGCACGAGCGGAGTAAAAATAAGTCTGCTTGACAAATGTAAATTGCCTTCAACTACTATTTATGATTCATCATACTTTCTTTTTTCTCATTTTATTTTTTGGTGAATGAGATTCTTTTCACTTTTGGACTTTATGTAATTCCTGTACGATGATGAAGGACGAATTGTGTCTTTAAGTGATAATTTTGTCTAGAGAGCGGAAATCGTATATGTATATAGTATATAAGTATGTAATACATTTTGATGATCTCTTGTTTTTATACAACAATGTACTGAAAGATTCGAGAATATATTGTATATTATTTCGCACTATATAAAAACAAATCTAATTGAAACACGCCAAATAACATTTAATTTTTGATCATGAAAATTGCGACCTAAACAAATAAATTTCCATTGTTTTTCATTCGAGTCCCTAAATATCCCACTTCGTGAATTTCACAACATTGTAGCAATTTGAAACGCTTTCAAGCTCATTCCTGTCACATCACAGTAAATAATTTGAGAGAGGACAAAATGCGTATGCTACTCTTCAAGCGTTTCAATTTCTTCCATTTTTTTAAGTTTACTTAAGAGAAAATAGGTCAACCATTACCATACAGTTTAAATGTGTACCAGATAATCACGATCTCCACAGTTAGTTCATATTTTTTTTCTTTATCTTAAAATCTGACAATAAAAGGTTTAGCATTAAACAAATATGTATTTATTTCTGATGGACCAGATTTCCATCTTGCCAAGAAAATGATTCCCGATAAAATACGAAAAATTGTCAAATAAAATCCATCTGTTAATCTAACGATACAAATTAACTTGATGATAAGGTTTTTATGTTGAGATTGATAAGGATAGAATTTATTCATATAAATACTTAATTCAGCTAAAACATTTTAGTCTGACAGCATTCATACAATAAAAGATGGGGCATCTATAAATAAAACAGAATGACTTCTTATAACTGTAAACGCTTTGAAATTCTTATGTAAGGAAACAGACGATCAACATAAGAAATGGAGAACGGAATTCCAAACAATAAATGTATGTTTAATAAACTCAAATACTTTGCGCGCATACAAAGGATTCCTTGAATCTTTGGAGATTACAATCGATCGTTTTTTTTTTGAATTTTAAGAAGACATTGCAACAAACATTATACACATGCCGTCATCAAAATACTGAAGACAATCAGAAATATAAATGTAACACGTATTGATACAGTTTATGTTCGTCAAGGTTTTCTATTTTTTTCTCGATTCCACTAAGTATTTCTGATTCAGTTTTCTCATTCTTAGATTTTTATTTTTTATAAACAACGGACCTCTGTATTCCTTGACCGTTAAAGAATGGCTCAGAAATAAGGAAAGTTTAGAACCTAAATGTTTAAAATGGGGTAAAAATGATTGTTCTTAAAAATATAAAAATGGAAAAGCAGTTTAATGATATTTATATATATAACAATTTATGTACCATTACTACATATTTGGCTACAATGCCATCTCTGTATACTCAAGGGAGTCTTTCTCCTTGCTTGCCCCTTACCATTTCGTTCATTCGCATCATGCCACTAAAACATAACGAGCAAATTCATCAAGTTTCAAGCATATGTATAATGGAAATTTTACAATCTACATAAGTAGGTATACGCTAAGTATCGAAATTTCTCACAGCCATTTTGGTATTTTACAAATGTTAATGTCTGATAGTGACCGATATTATCGAATGATCAATACCCTAATTAATTAATCCTTTTTGTCCATAAATGAAAATCGCAATTATATGTTTGATGCATTTCATTTTAGAAAATAATTCGACTCCAAAAATTGATCGTATTTAATTTTAAGAAAGCTTTGCGACTTTGTTATTTATTTTCATTATTTTAGGATGGCAGTACTTCTGTCATCATAATAGTTGAAAGAGGAAACTTTGTATGACAGATTGAAGGTACAAACATCAATTTTTGATAGAAAATGATTTCTAAAACATAGTGGTAAAGAAAATTTTCCGAATCGGTTAATAAAATGTTTTCTTTTTGCTTTTTCACTTTTATCGATGATTCATACTTCAGATTTTTTTTAAAGTAAGCAAGTAAGTAAGTAAGTAAGTTAGTAAGTAAGTAAGTTAGTAAGTAAGTTAGTAAGTAAGTAAGTTAGTAAGTAAGTAAGTTAGTAAGTAAGTAAGTAATTGTTGCAAGATTTTATAAATTATGTAGATATATGATTTCTTTTCATATTGCAACATGACTACATAAACTAATTGTAAAAGCATATCTAGAATTTTATGCGAAAATTAATATTCATCCGCATCTGTTTTAATAATTAATTACACAAAAGTTTTAGTTTTTTGCCACTATAAAAAAATCATCGTTAATTAAATAATTTTTAAAAGCGTAGTGAACCCGAACGATAATTATCTTCTTCTAAGTTTAAAAGTAAATTGATTGAGTGACAAAGTCACATAAGCGTGTCTGCTCATTTAAGGATATTGAAATTTACTTTTTATTTGATATGTACGTATTGGAATGATGACATTCAAAAATAGAAATTCAAATACAGACGTGGATTACGTTCTCGACAAGCTAAATGAATTTTATCGTAAATGAAACGACAATAAAATATTCAAACTATAGCAAACTACGGTTCTGTAAACGCAAAAAGAGGTTCTTTTATTGAAAGTCGGAAAAGAAAAAGTGGACTTTTCCGCTTCTTTGCACATCTCATCTTTGAAAATAACATCATAGAGTGGGAAAGTTCTCAGATCTTTACAGCAACTTAGACAATTGAGTCATGTAGTTAAAAATGACGCGAACAGCAAGCAGCAACAATGAAATACAGAAATGAGGAAAAAAAATAAAATTATTATTCCAAAGACGAATAAGAACAACATTTTTGTGATGTTAGTGGTGTTTTGGTTGATGTAGTAGTTGATTTTGTTAATAAAATATCTGCTTAGTTAGGGTATTGTTAATAAGAAATGTCACAGCAGAGAGACCATCTAGAGAGTGGTTCAAGGGAAATGACTAAGAAGAAAAAATAAGAAATTTAAATATATTATTGACGATCACAATGAGAGAGACCTTATAAAACCTATAAAGCAATCAACACGAATATATTTCCTATCATTTTGCAGTGCTAATATTTTTAAACGGAGAAAAGGCTGTTCATAGATCTTAAGAAAATTCAATTACATTCTTTAAATTTATCATATTTGTGAAAAGGCTAATAATAATAATAATAATACTAATTCATTTTGGCTTGTTTTAGTTGAGGTATTAACTAATTTTTATAAAATTTAGAACACATCTAATTACCAATATCTACTTAGAATAAAAAAATTCAATCAAAATTACGGTTTTATGAAAAAAAGTTGCGCGCACTCAAGTTCTTTGTCTTCTGTGGTTTGATGTGAAGATTAAATTATGTACCTAAATATAAATTTTCTTTTTTATCAAAGTGCCTTTTGTATTCTTTTTAAAAATCATTTGAACTATTGAGTTCTTTAAAAATATCGGATAAGTGCTTTTTACCTTACCGTTCACAACCAAAAAACCAAAAAAATATTACTTGCTTGACCAACAACGACTTAAAGTAATGCATGTGCTTCAAGATAAGATGCATTAATTTTTATGAAACGGAAAACGTCTAGTCTATCACATTTGCGATAGATTAAAATAAATCGGTTTTCAAAAGTTAATTAAAAATGAAAAACAAATGCGCCGAAAAAGGGATTGAAAATCCATTTGATTTGCATTTGTTGAGAATTCTTTTTGTAAGCCATAGATTGGATTCATTCTGTTGCGAGAAACAAACTGTTGTGGTGGTCGGAATTGGTTTTGGACATTTCTTGATTTGAATAAATCGAAATAAATGAATTTTAAATTTGTAAACTCTTATTTTTTGGTCTTTTTATTTGATTTTGGATAATGAAGTAGCAATGGTAAAGGAGCACAGCCCGCATTAAATTTATTCATGAGTATTTACTTATTCTTGATTTCGTTCGAGACTGAAGAAATTGCTATAGAAACGATAACATTAAATCCTGTTCAATAAATACTTAGGAGCCTATGATATTTAGTGAAAACTGTAGTAATGAAGTCATTAATTAATTTGGTGCAAGTCTATATAACAACAAACAAAACAAAATCAAATAAAATCAATCAAATAAAAAAAAATAAAAATAGCTGTTGACTGTGATTCACAATGGGTGTGCGGAATCGGTAACAAGCAACAGTATAAAACTGAATAAAATTACAACATTTTATCAACACATGTCTGTTTGCAGCCGAAAAAAAGTAACTGTTACTTTAAAATGTCAAATTAGATTCCGCTTATTACATCTAGGATCTTATCAAAATCGTGTTCGCCACGAAAAAAAATATTATCGATTCAGCTTCAATGTTTTATGTAGATTGATATCGGAAATATGCATTTTAATGTGCATAAAATTGTAGAGGGATATGACCGAGCTTTCCTAAGTGTGTGTTCCGAGTGCGACAGAAAATTATGTTAAGCGTCTAAAAAAATCTCAGGGCTAAGATTGTTTCTATTTCGTTATCTAATATTGAGTAGAGTAAACAATATTTAATATGATTTAAATAGGTTGAGCCATATATCCGGTTGGATTCTCATATTAACATTACTGTACATTGTTGAGGTATTTAGTTGAAAAAGTAAAAGGATAATTTTTTTCTCTTCATTCTCTTGACTTCCGTTGTGGTTTCCTATATAAATAGGTTATTCTTGATTTTTATGTCCGACTAGCTTCGGTAAAGTAATATAAACTGACCTACCCTATCTTTAAGCATATCCTTAGAAATATTTTTTTAATATGTAATAAAAAATATAATAGTAAGTTAACTTATTATTGATGTTCTATCTAGATATCTTTGTAGATTATTTTTATGTGACAAATAGAATTTAAAACAAATAGCTAATACAGTAATGATTGTGTAAACCGAATTATTTATTGTTTCGTTACTACTTAGTGATGTATGTAGATGAATATATGAAAAAGAGAATAAAATATTCAGTTATTTTAATAATTTTTCCTTTTGCCTGAACTCATGCAATTAGATATCTCTACTTTTTTTCTTTTCTGAGTTTTTTTTTGTAATGTTTGTTATTAGAGTGTTTTAAAAACTATCTTTAATTTTCTGCATTTACAAATATATCTTTTCTTCCTTCATCAAGATAAATTATTTAATATTTTTCTTCTTCTCTTTTACTTTTTCAGCTTTATGCTAAAACTCTTCGCAAATCCTTAAAATTAAAAAGGAGAAACATCATCATCATCATCATCATCAGATCAAGGACAGGCACATATAGGCCAAACAAGTTCACTGATTAGTACATTGAGATCTCTTATTAATCTTTGAGAGTATATGCTTGATCGCTTTTAAGACGTTGCATCTTATCAGATTTTGTGTATATCAAATGAAACCACATGATAGAACATATTTTAAGTATTTTTAATATTCAAAAGAATTTTATCACTTTTCGAGACTATGTAAAGAAGTTTGCGCGTAAGATAAATATGACGCAAAAAAATAGATTAAATATTGATAATTTGTTACTCACCATATTTTTCATTTACTCCTATCTCTACATCTTTTGCAGTACGGCTGATTTTTTTAATTGGTTGCCCTATCATAGTGAAATTACCTAAGCTTATTTGTTTTACAAATAAAAAATAAATCTTTCCCTGTTCTAATTCCTCACGTACAAAACCTCGGTGACGGAACTCTTCACGGTAAATGTCACATTCACTGGTGTTTTTATATGAAAACTGAAGACGCACTTGACGTGGAAGAGCAAAATTGAGCTGTTGCTTGTACACTTTAAGAATCTCAACTGTCGCTGAGAAATTGGCTTGACGATCAGGCGTCATTGACTTTATTTTTCCTTCAAATACTGTTGGAGCCTCAAAGGCCAGTGTTCGTGGATCTCGCGCTGAACAATATTTTCTACGCCTTTGACGATGTCCATTACGATTACTACGATGGTAATTTTGGTTAATGTTGGTGTTATTCAATAAAAATGATGGAGGGTTGGACGACGATGGCAAATGCATATTATGCTGGTGATGATATCGAGAATCTCTTCTACTACGATTACTTGCAACAGATATGTTTGCCATAATTTTGTGCAACGCATCAAATATTTCTTCCTTCCAATAATCTCCATTCGATGTTGTATTCTTAATATATAATTTATTATTGTTATGGTTATGCTGAGTAATTATATTTTGGTTAATTATATGTTTTAAATTATTTATATTTAGCTTGGGATTTGCACTTATTTTCAGATTTTCAATTGTATTTTCATAATTCCCCCCAACATTTGTTCGTTGATCGAGAATCCGCTGAAAGAGTAGCCTTCGTTTTCGGTGAGCTTCTAATCTTGCATGCTTTTTCCGCATTCGCATGTGCCATGTTTTTCTTCGACTGAAGTCTTCGATCTCATTGAGATATTTAATTGGATATTCATTATGTTGTTGCTGGTAATGTTGTTGTGATGTAAGTTTGTCATGATTGACAGTTGAGTTCCTTAACAACGAGACAAAAAAATTTTGTCTTGAAGCTGATGGTGAATAGGATAGTTCAGTCAGTGGGGGATAATTGCGACGACGATGTTCCACATTCAATGATGAAAAATCAAGCGGTGTCAAGTGCATAGTGAGTGCACCTTGACACCAAAAAACTAATAAGGAACAAATTGCTAGCAACAGATACATGAAAATTTTGATCGGATTCCATTTGCGCAATCTGTGCGCATTCATTGCGTCTTTTTTTATTATTTATCGCCCCGTCTCGAAAGGGAGCGACATACAAAAGGCCTCAGTTGCTTTTATTAGATTTAGATATTGTTGAGATCTTTAATCGAGAAACTTAAAAGTTTATTTTCTCCTTTTTGCACTTATGCAACTTTATCTTTCTTTTTCTCTCTCATTTAGTTTTTTTTTTATTGTATATTTATTTGCAAAACTCACTGATCCACAACCCTTGATATTTGCGTGTCTTGCCTTTAAGAAGTGCACCTATCAACAGTTTGGTGACAGCACCAAAATTGATCTCTTAAGTCATTGAAACACTGCCATTCTATCGCAGCCATCGACAATTGTTGTTTGCTCATGATTTTTGATTTAAATATTAGATTTTTTTCATAACCTTATAACTTTCCTTTCTGTCTTTTTTCCCGATTTAATAATATCCAAATTTTTCTTTTGAACTCATTGTAATACATGAATAATTATTAATTTTTTATGTTGAAATGTTAATGAACTCAATGTCCTGCAATTGCAAATTAAATAAGTTATTCCAATGTATTTTTCTATTTAAACAATCACATTTCCATTTTCTTGTCTTTGTAATTTTTCGTCTTTTAAATACTCGTCAACTCGAATTCTTTTTCTATTGGGTGAGAAGAGATGACACATAAAATTTATTAGGTAATCATTCTCTAATTTTCATTTGTTTTTTTCAGCAATATGAAAAGAAAATTTGGTAAATAATCATTTAAATATTTTTATTTATTTGCTGTATTGAAAACAAATGTTAGAAGTATGCCATAATCATTAAACAGAATATTTTAGTGTTGACCGAATTATGTAGGTATATAAGCTTTATGATTCGAGAATCCTTAATAATAATAATCTTCCCGTAATAATATTTAAAATATCACAATTGTCATCATTGTTTATATAAAGAAAAATACCATAAGTTTAGATATTTAATTAATGCTTTGTATTTGGGGTTTTTTTTTATTTATTTAGAAATATTTTTTCTCTTAATTATTTTACGCGAGCTTTTGAAATTTACATGTGAAAAAATCATTGACCGATTATATATTTTCTTTANTAATGTTTGTTATTAGAGTGTTTTAAAAACTATCTTTAATTTTCTGCATTTACAAATATATCTTTTCTTCCTTCATCAAGATAAATTATTTAATATTTTTCTTCTTCTCTTTTACTTTTTCAGCTTTATGCTAAAACTCTTCGCAAATCCTTAAAATTAAAAAGGAGAAACATCATCATCATCATCATCATCAGATCAAGGACAGGCACATATAGGCCAAACAAGTTCACTGATTAGTACATTGAGATCTCTTATTAATCTTTGAGAGTATATGCTTGATCGCTTTTAAGACGTTGCATCTTATCAGATTTTGTGTATATCAAATGAAACCACATGATAGAACATATTTTAAGTATTTTTAATATTCAAAAGAATTTTATCACTTTTCGAGACTATGTAAAGAAGTTTGCGCGTAAGATAAATATGACGCAAAAAAATAGATTAAATATTGATAATTTGTTACTCACCATATTTTTCATTTACTCCTATCTCTACATCTTTTGCAGTACGGCTGATTTTTTTAATTGGTTGCCCTATCATAGTGAAATTACCTAAGCTTATTTGTTTTACAAATAAAAAATAAATCTTTCCCTGTTCTAATTCCTCACGTACAAAACCTCGGTGACGGAACTCTTCACGGTAAATGTCACATTCACTGGTGTTTTTATATGAAAACTGAAGACGCACTTGACGTGGAAGAGCAAAATTGAGCTGTTGCTTGTACACTTTAAGAATCTCAACTGTCGCTGAGAAATTGGCTTGACGATCAGGCGTCATTGACTTTATTTTTCCTTCAAATACTGTTGGAGCCTCAAAGGCCAGTGTTCGTGGATCTCGCGCTGAACAATATTTTCTACGCCTTTGACGATGTCCATTACGATTACTACGATGGTAATTTTGGTTAATGTTGGTGTTATTCAATAAAAATGATGGAGGGTTGGACGACGATGGCAAATGCATATTATGCTGGTGATGATATCGAGAATCTCTTCTACTACGATTACTTGCAACAGATATGTTTGCCATAATTTTGTGCAACGCATCAAATATTTCTTCCTTCCAATAATCTCCATTCGATGTTGTATTCTTAATATATAATTTATTATTGTTATGGTTATGCTGAGTAATTATATTTTGGTTAATTATATGTTTTAAATTATTTATATTTAGCTTGGGATTTGCACTTATTTTCAGATTTTCAATTGTATTTTCATAACTCCCCCCAACATTTGTTCGTTGATCGAGAATCCGCTGAAAGAGTAGCCTTCGTTTTCGGTGAGCTTCTAATCTTGCATGCTTTTTCCGCATTCGCATGTGCCATGTTTTTCTTCGACTGAAGTCTTCGATCTCATTGAGATATTTTATTGGATATTCATTATGTTGTTGCTGGTAATGTTGTTGTGATGTAAGTTTGTCATGATTGACAGTTGAGTTCCTTAACAACGAGACAAAAAAATTTTGTCTTGAAGCTGATGGTGAATAGGATAGTTCAGTCAGTGGGGGATAATTGCGACGACGATGTTCCACATTCAATGATGAAAAATCAAGCGGTGTCAAGTGCATAGTGAGTGCACCTTGACACCAAAAAACTAATAAGGAACAAATTGCTAGCAACAGATACATGAAAATTTTGATCGGATTCCATTTGCGCAATCTGTGCGCATTCATTGCGTCTTTTTTTATTATTTATCGCCCCGTCTCGAAAGGGAGCGACATACAAAAGGCCTCAGTTGCTTTTATTAGATTTAGATATTGTTGAGATCTTTAATCGAGAAACTTAAAAGTTTATTTTCTCCTTTTTGCACTTATGCAACTTTATCTTTCTTTTTCTCTCTCATTTAGTTTTTTTTTTATTGTATATTTATTTGCAAAACTCACTGATCCACAACCCTTGATATTTGCGTGTCTTGCCTTTAAGAAGTGCACCTATCAACAGTTTGGTGACAGCACCAAAATTGATCTCTTAAGTCATTGAAACACTGCCATTCTATCGCAGCCATCGACAATTGTTGTTTGCTCATGATTTTTGATTTAAATATTAGATTTTTTTCATAACCTTATAACTTTCCTTTCTGTCTTTTTTCCCGATTTAATAATATCCAAATTTTTCTTTTGAACTCATTGTAATACATGAATAATTATTAATTTTTTATGTTGAAATGTTAATGAACTCAATGTCCTGCAATTGCAAATTAAATAAGTTATTCCAATGTATTTTTCTATTTAAACAATCACATTTCCATTTTCTTGTCTTTGTAATTTTTCGTCTTTTAAATACTCGTCAACTCGAATTCTTTTTCTATTGGGTGAGAAGAGATGACACATAAAATTTATTAGGTAATCATTCTCTAATTTTCATTTGTTTTTTTCAGCAATATGAAAAGAAAATTTGGTAAAT